GATATTGCATCACTAAGTGGTATTATTCAGTAAGTCCGGACAATAAAAAATATGGATGTTTCCATTTGGATACATCCGGCCGTAAAGGGACAAAAAATTTTAAAATCGTTTTTCTTCTACGATTGTCCAAATAATGAACTTTATCATATTCTTGTCAAACTATATCTATCATTAGGAAAAGAATGTCGTTCTTCTGCACTATTTTTTTCTTTTTGTCATCGTTATGACGTCACCATACGTATGTAATGGATCTATATCTTCTTACGTTCTGTGGTCATGCATGAGTGCATATATGTTCTCCTTTCTAGTATGTTCAGTTACATTCGCTTTCTTTCTTCTCTATATACATGTATGTGTCATCTATGGTCTCTCTAGTATTCTCTAGGAACTCCTTCTTTTCCATCACTTTCTATTGAATTCTTTCTTGTCCCGCACTCTTATATATATACCCGTTGATTGAAACAATAAAACATATGTATATACTTTATAATAATTCTTTTCCTTACTAATAACTGGTACGTGGTTGACAACTTTTCAAATTCTTAGTTTATTTTTGATCAACGTTTTTTTGGTAATGCCTACTACAAGAAGTTCTAAGCGACATACTGTTATTCCAAACGGACTTAGTGAAGAAGAAGTTGACTCGTCCGAGTCAGAAGATGAAATTAGTACAATCAAACGTACTTCATTACATGAATCAACAATGAGCGAACAATCTTCATCTAGTGAAGAAAGTGACGTCGAAGAAGTTGTACAAAAGGCTCCACCATCAAAAAAGAAGAAGACACTGAATTGGAAAAAAAAATTTTTTTCAGCTCCAGCAGCAGCTTTTACTGACAATTTGCCACCACCACCAGTAAATGAAGAATTAGAGCCAATTAATTATTTTCATTCTATGTTCGGCAAGCAATCCATCACACTTTTGTCAGATCAATCGAATTTATATTCAGTTCAAACAAATTCGAACAAGCCTCTTTGTATTTCAGAAAATGAAATGGAACATTTTATTGGTGTACTAATAATGACTGGAATATATTCGTTTCCACAACAGCGTTTCTTTTGGATGAATGCCACTCGTGTTGAATCCATATCTTCAGTTATGAGTCGGGATCGATTTTTACAAATTAAAAAATATATACATGTTGTTGATAATTCAAGTCAACCAAATAGAAATGATTTAAATTTTGATCGAGCATATAAAGTTCGTCCATTATTGAATATTGTCAAAGAGAATTTCAGAAAAATTCCAAAAGAAGAAAAATTAAGTGTTGATGAACAAATAATACCTTTTAAAGGACGAAGTATTATGAAGCAGCATATGCCAAAGAAACCGAATCGTTGGGGTTACAAAATGTTTGTTTTGGCCGGTGGTGAAAGTGGTATATGCTATGACTTTATTTTTTATACTGGTAAAGGTGATAAGACAGAATATGGATTTTGCACAAATATTGTTCTTGCACTTTGTGAAACAGTACCACGTTCAATCAACCATAAACTTTATTGTGATAATTTTTATACAACAATTCAATTACAAGTGGAATTACACAAATTGGGAATTTATGCGGTTGGTACGGTAAGAGCAAATCGATTACCTGGTTTGGTTATGAAAAATGACAATGATTTATCCAGTGAAGGACGTGGTGCAATGGATCATCGTGTTACTGAAGTTGATGGTGTTCAAATTTGTGCAATCAAATGGTACGATAATAATATTGTTAACTGCCTTTCAACATTACATGGTTGTCATCCAATCGATTTGGTACAACGATGGTCAGCCAAAGAAAAAAAACATATACAGATCACAAGACCGAATGTTATAAAAGCTTATAATCAACATATGGGAGGTGTTGATTTGATCGATATGTTGATTTCACTCTACCGTATCAATGTCCGGTCACGGAAGTATTACATTAAGATCATTTTTCATCTAATTGATTTATCAGTAGTAAATGCTTGGCTTTTGTATCGCCGCCATTGTTTACAACTTAAAATTTCAAAAAAGAAGACAATGTCTTTATTAACATTTCGTATTAGTATAGCTGAAGCATTGCTTAAATCTAGTCCATCGCCACCATCACCAGTGAAACGAGGTCGTCCATCATTAGAATCAGTAACTAATGAAAATAGTCCTCGAACATCATCTAGAGCTGCGCCTAATCCACTTCCACCAACAAGTGTTCGATTGGATAAATTTGATCATTGGCCTGTTCCCACAGTGAAAGGCCGCTGTCGAAATCCTGGTTGTGTTGGCCAAACAAGAATATCATGTTCAAAATGTGAACTACGTTTATGTTTGAACGATAAAAATAACTGTTTCAAAGAGTATCATAATTAATAAGTCGTCTTTCTTCAAAGTTATTCTTACTTGACTGATGTTGATTTTCGTGTGTGCTTATCTTGTTTCTCTATACATATCTATTTCTTTTCTACTTGTATAGACTTCATAAATAGA